CAAGCTCTACCCCTACTACCACAAGCCCCACCCACACTACTGCAAGCTCTACCCCTACTACCACAAGCCCCACCCACACCACTGCAAGCTCTACCCCTACTACCACAAGCACCATCCACACAAGCTCCACTCACAGTACCAAGAGCCCCACCCATATTGCCCAAAACTCTACTCACAAAACTAGAGTATCAACTCTTACCACTACAAATCCAACCTCCAATGCTATAAACCTAGTTGAGACCACTAAAAGTTCTATGCACCCTGCCACAAGCCCCACCTACCCTGTCACAAATTCTACATGGACAACTGTGAGCCCTTCCACATCTCCAAATCTTGTTCTCTCCAGCTCCTCTGTGCACAGAGAGCCCATCCTCCCAGCCTCCACCCCCTGCACTCAGGCTGACCCCATAGCATCTAGCACCTCTCACAGCTCCACTAGTTCTGGCTGGAAATCCCTCACAAGCACTGCCCCAGAACCCAACCTTCCTAGCCCAAGTTCCCCTCCCTCTCCCCTAGTTCCTGTACCCCAGCATTCTGACCTCACCCTGACCATGCCTGCCGAGGCCCCAGTCCCAGAGACAGCTGGAGGGGCTGGGGACAGGAGGCTGGAGGAGGCACTGGGGACTCTAATGGCGGCCCTGGATGACTATCGTGGCCAGTTCCCTGAGCTGCAGGGCCTGGAACAGGAAGTGACCCGGCTGGAGAGTCTGCTCATGGTGAGTTGGTTGGTTTGGCTGGGCTGGGCTGGGCCACCATCTGGAGGCAGCAGCCAGGCTGAGGCAGCACCTCTGACTTTCTCCACAACCCCAGCAGAGACAAGGCCTGACCCGCAGCCGGACCTCTAGTCTTAGCATCACTGTGGAGCATGCTCTGGAGAGCTTCAGCTTTCTCAATGAGGATGAAAATGAAGACAATGATGGGCCTGGGGACAGGTGAGGGGACTAGGTGAAGAAAGAACATTGGGCGGGGGAGTGGGGTGAGACAAGTAAAGGGAGGGAAGAAAAGTAGAAGAGCAGATGGATAGGGGTACAGGTTAAATAGGACCAAGTAAGGGGGAACAGGATAGGTGCGGGCACATCAAGAAGGCAAGACCAGATGGACAGGAAGAGATGGACTTGCTGGAAGGTGTGTCTGTGTGTGCCGCTCTTCTGTCCATTCTTAATGTGTCCTTGATGCCTGGTTTCCAACCTCTGAATCCCCAGTGCTTCTGACAGCCCTCCTCCTCCTCGTCTCTACAATGTCTGCCTATCCTGCCGATCCCCATCTGCCCGAGAGCCTCCAGATCCTCCTCTCTCCCTTGGCCTCACCTTGGATCCACCCCAGGAACAAGCCAGTTCAGTGCTTCCCCATGCACCCTGTGTCTCCCAGCATCGGCCCCCTCCACCTCGACCCCGGCCCTCCCGTAGGCCCCGGTCCCTAGGCTCTCTGTCCCCAAGCAGCCTTTGCCGCTTCCCTGTTGAGCGTCATACTCGGCACCCCCTCCCGCTCCTGTTACCCAGATTAAGGCCCCGCACTTTGCGTCCCTTGGACCTCAGCCCCTTGCAGTCCACACTACATAGACCATCCCGTCTGCAAACCTACTCCCGTCCATCCCAGCCCCGGCAGCCCCGACGATCCTAGTTGGAAGTGGCACAGGACAGTGTGACTCCAGAGAGTTCCCTATGCCCTGCTGGTCCCAGCCCTTTCCTCCTTCTGGAAGTCCTCTGTGAATTTACCCATCGTCTTTCATCTGTGTATCATCTGTTCTTTCAACTCAGGAGGGGGTGCTCAATAAAAATTTACACTAGTGACCAGGTGGTGATTCATGCTCCTGGGGTGATGGACCCCATTTTTCTCTCAGGCCTCCAAGCAGCCCGGAACCTGGGGCTGAGGACAGCCTAGACTCACCCAGTGCCCGCCCTTTCAGCACAGGGTGCCCAGCTCTGGATGCTGCCCTGGTCCAGCACCTGTACCACTGCAGCCGCCTCCTGCTGGTGAGGCCAGTGGTATTCTCCCACTCTGCCCTTATGGTCCCTTACCCAGGGAGCCCAGCACTTCAATCCTGGTCCTCAATACCTTATCTAAGCTCCACACCTTACTACACCAAGGGTCCTGGCATCTGGCCCTTGCTGAATGGAATACCTCCCACACTCTGGGCTCACCCCACCCTTTTCCAATGCATGCTGGGACTTGTGGTCCCCTGGGTTCTGCCAAGCCCCCTCCCCCCCCCCCCGCCCCCTTCAGCTCTCCGCCGGAGTCTGGGCTATTTAACCATTACTATTCTCCAGAAACTAGGTATATTTGGGCCGCTGCGCTGCCAGGAGACATGGGCCCTGGAGCGGCTGCTGCGGGAAGCCCGAGTGCTGGAGGCTGTGTGTGAGCTCAGTGGGCGATGGGAGATCCCTGTCACTTCAGCCCAGGAAGGTAAAGGCCCCATGGGCTCTGGCTCTGCCTAGGATCACCTGTCCTCTCCACCCCACCTGACTGTTGGATCTTTGACACTTTCTGCACCCCTCACAGTGGTGCAGTTCTCACCCTCTCGGCCCGGCTTCCTGCCCTTCTGGGACCAGTGCACAGCGGGACTCAGCGTCTTCATCTGCCCTGTGGAACGGGTGCTCCTTACCTTCTGCAGCCAGTATGGTGCCCGCCTTGCCCTGCGCCAGTCAGGGTTAGCAGAGGCTGGTGAGTAGGCTGCTTCCTGCCCCTTAGTCCCTCCTGTCTCCAATCCCCAGTGGTGGGGTGGGGGCCCCTCAGGGGCAGCCAGGTCACACTACACAAACATACCGAGCAGAGTCTTGAAGAGAAATAGTAATGCCTAGGACAAGACCCAAATGGTAGGGTTTAGAGAGGGCCCTGTACCTGAGCCTGGAATGGGGCACTCTCTTCCCTCAGAGGGCCTGGGTCTGTCCAAACCCTGATGACCACTGCCTTCCACAGTGTGTGTCAAGTTCTTGGAGGAGGCCCTGGGGCAGAAGTTGCCCAGGAGGCCCCAGCCAGGCCCGGGAGAGCAGCTAACCATCTTCCAGTTTTGGAGTTATATTGAAACCGTGGATGGTCCCTCCATGGAGGCCTATGTGACTGAGACCGCTGAGGAGGGTGAGCCAGTGACCCTGACCACTAAGGGGCCCAACTCCATGGTTAGGTCTGAGGATGTGGGCAAGGAAGAACATGAGCATACCCCCTTTTCCTTTTAGTATTTCTGGTGCGCAATTTGAACTCAGATGACCAAGCTGTGGTACTGAAGGCCTTGAGGTTGGCGCCTGAGGGACGGCTGCGTAAGGATGGGCTGCGGGCCCTCAGCTCCCTGCTTGTCCATGGCAACAATAAGGTCATGGCTGCTGTCAGCACCCAGCTCCGGAGCCTGTCACTAGGTCCTGCCTTCCGAGAGAGGGTAAGGGCCTGCCAGTCCTCCTTTGAGGGCAAGGGCTAAGGTTCTTGGCTTCAAGCAACTGGCTAAGTCTGCTCTTCTGCCCTGCCACCCCACCCAGGCCCTCTTGTGCTTCCTAGACCAGCTGGAGGATGAGGATGTACAGACTCGGGTAGCTGGCTGCCTGGCCCTGGGCTGCATCAAGGTGATCACTGTAACCCACTCACCTATCCCTTCCGTTTCCTCTCCTCCCACCCCTGGGTCCTGGGCCTCTACCACCTGTTCTGCTGGGTTTTCCCTCAATACTCTCCCCTCTGGTAGGCACCTGAGGGCATTGAACCCCTGGTATACCTGTGCCAAACGGACACAGAAGCTGTGCGGGAAGCTGCCCGGCAGAGCCTGCAACAATGTGGTAAGGCTGGAGGGGGTGGGAAGTATAGACCAAGCCGACTTCTGGGGACATCCTGGCTGATGAGAGGCGAGAGGGGACTAAGGGTGATAGAACCAGGACAAAGCTAGGACTACTCTTAACCCATCCTCACTCATTGCAGGAGATGAGGGACAGTCTGCCCACCGAAGGCTGGAGGAATCGCTAGACGCCCTGCCCCGCATATTTGGGCCAGGCAGCATGGCCAGCACAGCATTCTAACCCCCTCCCAGGTTTCTCAGCATCCCACCCCCACTTTCAGGGCTCACCAGGCACTGGCAGGGAGGGTGAGGGCGGGCTCTGGACACCCCCATATTCCTTTCCATGAAAATCTAATATATTCTGGTCCCTTTGGGGTTGGTAGTCAGTGCCTGCAGTCAAGTGCCTCCCAGCCTAGGCTCAGCACACCCCTCACCACAAATCAGTGTTCAGAGCCTGGCCACCCTGCCTTGGTCCCCCACATCCCTTGGTTTTGTATATTATTTACAGTTTTACAGAAAATAAAAAAGCAAAATGCCTTTCCTACATAGCCTAGCCTACTATTCTCTGATTGACCCTCTGTACCAACACCCTGTGGCTTTGGCCTTGCCTTACCCTGGTGTGGCCACACTGCAGCTGTGACAATGATATATGCACTCTCCCAGGAAATCCGGAGAGAGCCCAGAGGCTGCAGTGGGCTTAGAGAAGATAGCACTACATGTGGAAAAATGCTGAAGGGGCTGAGCTGAAGGCCTGGATTGGCCCAGAAGAGACCCAAAGCTGCCTTTCCTGGGAGCTAGCTCCTGTCACCAGGCAGAAGCAGTAGCAGAGAAAGTCACGATAGAGTAGTGGGAGTTTCTGGCCACCAGGGGGCAGCAGTGCCCTTCAGGAGGCTTCTGGGTCTGCCCCTCAACCCAGGTTGCTTCCTACAGAGGGAGCCTGGGGCTCCTTGAAGGCTGGTAGCAAGAGAGTCAAGATCCTGGCAGAGGGTAAGTGCTGGGGCCTGGGAGGTAGGGGACCCGGATAGCTGCCCTGTGAACTGGAGAGCAAGTCCTTCCCTTCCCAGAGTCCGCCTCCCTCTCTGGAATAACAAACCCTCCTGACCCCTTATGGCTGGGGACAGCAGGTTGACCTGTGCTGCCTGGCAGCACATGAATTCTGTTAACCCCAGAAGAGTACGAATTCTATGTGAGGAACTGAAAGGTAGAATGGGACTGTAGGGTATCAGGCCCTCTCTGAGACTTTCATCCCATCCCCAGGCTCCTCTCCCCCAAGAAGCAAGAGGGATTGTATAAGTGGTACTTGTACAGCAGTGTAACATGTGCATGGCGGCATCACATTGGGGAAAGTGTGCCCTGTAACTCAGGATGAGCCAATGATGTGTCAACAATCTCCCCTGGGAGGGCGGGTTGACCCAGAACCCCAGAGCCCAGTCTCCCCACCCCCTCTCACCCCCATCCATCAGCATTCAGAGTTGTGTGTGGTGGTTTGGCTGGGGCCTTAACCACCTGCTGGGCGCTGGGGAAGCCAAGCTGAGCAAAATAAAACGGCAACAGGAAGGAGCACAGGAAGCACCTGTGTGTGGATGCAGGTGGCTCATTCCAGACGGGGTGGGGAGGTGGGGGCAGGCTGATGCCCTCCATGTAGTGATACAGCTCTCCCTGCAGCTATAAAGGGTGGCATGGAAGGAATGGTGCAGCTCAGCTTTGTGGGTGGTCAGCTGGGGGGAGGATGGGGGAAGACAAGTGTTGGAGACTAAGCACCCAAAACTAGCCACAGCTTGGGCCTGCTCTTAAGACTCCCACCAGGAGCCCCCAAAGCCTGCAGCCCCACAAGAGGAGATCTCCACTGGCACAGCAGGACTGCTCACTGGCTTTAAACTATAGTGGGTGTGGTGGGTATGGAGGAAGTGAATACTGACTAATCAGGGGTAACCTGGCAAGTGTATGCTCCCAGCTCAACCCACAGAAACTAAACAAGAAATGGAGGATGGAAAAGTGTCATCAGCCAGGGGTCAACTGTAGTTGTCACTTGGATTCTGAGTGGCCCTACATCCCCACTCTCCAATACTGGAGAAAAACAAGGCCTCTGTCCTCTTCAAGGAGGGTCCCGAGGCCAGAATCTGGCATTCAGTTCTAGCTGAAGGTAGCTATGAGGGTCAAGGTGGTCAAGCTGTGAGAGTAAAGATTTAGGTATATGAACATTGCAAAGTAGAGGTCAAGACACAAAGGTTATAGGCATTTGTGTCATCAAACCTACCAAGCTCAGAGGTGTACAGATCAGCCTCAGGATGGCCACTTGACCTTTCTCCATCTTTGGCTGGTAGTTAGGCTAGATAGATCTGCCCAGGTTCAGGTCCAGGTGAGATCGTGGAAGACAAGGAGAACCTTTGTCCTCCCTCCTGTACATCCCCACAAAAACATACCAACAGCCCTTACAGGTGTCTCTTACAGGTCTTCAAAGCTGTTCCACAATACATCACATCTATCTTCAAGCAGAATTGGGAAGGCAAGGCATTCGTTCCTGCACCTTAGACTTGGGATAATTAGAAGCCTGGTGGACCAAGTGATGGGAGGTTGATGATGAGATCAGGAACCAAATGCACCTGGGCAGGAAAAAACCACACCCAACTGACTGTGGAAACTGTGCCAGCCTCTGAGGGGACAGATGGGAGTGGGGCTCCAAGGTCTGTGACACATCAAGGCCACCCCCAGAGCCTAGCCATCATCTTCTGCCAGGAAACTGATACACACACAGGACAAAAAAGGGACCAGGCTGAAGCAGTGCTGGGTACCATTTATTGTCGCCGTCTCCTCCCATTCTTCTTTTCTTTCCTCTCACTCTCTTAATCTTACCTTTCCTCCCATTTCCCGCTCTTCTTGTGTATTCACAGCTGTAAGGAACAAAAAAAGAGAGAAAAAGACCTGTTTATGAAGGCAAAGAAAAAGATGGACTTGTATGTGGGAAAGGGATGCTTTGTCTCACCCACAGAGCAGGGAGGTCTTCCTTGGGTTTCTGTGCCTGGTGTGTGGGTATAATTTGTTGAACCCCAAGCATATGCAGGCTCCCATTTGCCCTCATCCCACCCCCCAAGACAACCCTAGAATGTCCTGTACAGGTTATCCATCCCACAGACAGACCTTGGCACCAAGGCCTGAGAAAAACACCCTCTTCTAAGTCTGCCTGATTCAGGAGAGTGGACTTGGGAAGCACTCCAGTGCTATGGATAAATTGCTACAGACGCATAATCTATCAAACACTCGCACTGGTCTGTGAGAAAGGGACTTTTTTCAGAAAGCTGTAATCGGGTTGTGGCCACTTGTCTGTCTGATATCAAGTCTCATTTGTCTTTGAATACACCCAGGGCTGACAAAACACTCAGTAAATGCTGACATACAGGGGTTGAGTAAGGATATACATAAATTGCTATAACCAGTACACAAGTTTCCAACCATCATCGCTGATTCTCCTTACAGTCTTCTCCAAGCAGCCTCTTAGTGGTCACATCCCAGTGTTCCGTTCTAGATCTGTTCCTCTTCTTTCTTGAAATACATTCCCTGGACCACTCCATTCATTCCATTTTGGAGGTTGTTGTTGTTGTTAGGTGCCATTGAGTCGACACCAACTCATGGCGACCTTTTGCGCAGCAGAACGAAACAACGTCCGATCCTGGGCCACCCTCACTACTGTTGCCGCACTTGAGTCCATCGATGCTGCCATCTGGCCAGTCCATCTCTTTGGGAGTCTTCCTCTTTTTCTCTGACCCTCCATCTTATCAAGCATGATATCCTTCTCTAGTGACTGTTCCCTCCTGACTATGTCCAAAGTATGACAGACGAAGTTTGGTCATCTTGGCCTCTAAGGAGCACACTAAAAATTCACATGGCCCTCTCCTCAACTCCAGACCTATATATCCAACAAATAACTGGGTACCTTCTTTGGAAAGTCCCAGGCACCTCAAACTCAACAGACTCAAAGCTGAACTCAACATCTTCCCCAAACCTGCTTTTCCACGGCTTTTGGAGTTACCAACTACCCAAGTACCTGAGCCATACAACTTGGCCCCATCCTTGACAATCTCTGTCTTCTCTTCCTCCTCTCAGCCACCACTCATTCTCTCAAATAAATCCCCTAAACATTTCTAAACTATCAATTTCTCTTTATCCCCATCGGAACTACTCAGGTTTGGAACATATTGATCTCTTGTCTGGACACTGAAACTGGCTCCTCATAGCCTTCCTGCCTCTAGGCTTGCCCCTCTTTGACCCATTCTCCATGGTAAAGTCAAAGTGATCTCTTGAATATACATCTGCTGTTGTTACAGGCTTTCTTTCTTTTTAGGCAACATTCTAGCTTTCTAAAACTAGTTCACAAAGCCCTTTTGAATTTGTTTCCATCTCCAGCCTCATTTTTGGCACCTCACTTCTCACTCTGCACTGGAGCCTCAAAATTACTTGTGGTACACTACTCCCACACCTCATGTGGTCTTGCTAATGCCAGATGCCCACTAAGTTTCAGTGTTGTTGTTAAGTGCTGTTGAGTCTGTTCCAACTCATAACAACCCTATGTAGGATTTCTGAGGAGTGGCTAGTTGGTTTGAACCACTGACCTTACAGTTAGCAGTTCAGTGCTTAACCTACAGCACCACACCAGGATCAGAAATTTCTTCAGGAAGCTGCCTCTCCATCATACCCCTCCCCCCATCACAGGTGCCTGCATCACAGCTCACTGTAACTGGCTATTTACTTGACACTCTCCAATATATACATCCATTAAGTATCTGCTGACTGTTCTACTAGGTACCAGGCCCCACACAGTTCTGGGGAAGTTGATGGGGCTGCCTTCTTGTGTGGAGCCTGGTCCAGGTTAGGTTTGTTTTTGTTTTAACAGCTCTATGGAGATATAATCCACACACCATGTAATTTTTACCCTTTTAAAAGTAGACAGTTCAGTGGCTTTTAGTGTATTCACAGAGTTGTACAAGCTTCACCACACCAATTTTACATTTTCATCAACTCAAAAAGAAATTCCATATTGTCTTAGCCGTCACTCCTAATCTTCCATTTTCCACTTCCCTACTCCAGTCCTTGTTAAGTGCCATCAAGTCAGTTACGACTCATACCGACCCTGTTTTTGAGAAGCAGCTGGTACGTTTGAACTGTTGACCTTGTGGTTCAAACCAGGGCTTATCCTTCCACACCACACCAGGACTCTAAGTGATCACTGTGTATATAGATTTGATCATTCTAGGTATTTCATACAAATGGAATGGGGTTAGGTTTATTCCAACTCACCTAGGTCTAAGATTCACCTAGTAACTCCCTGGAGATTCAAATTCATATGACCATGATGTTCACTGACTTCTCTGTCAGTGAACTCTGTGGGAGCTTTCGTTCTTGACTTTTACCTATTAAGGTTCATGAGGTATAGTCTGGCCTTTCCAGCTAAAGTATATGGCACTTGGGGGTCTAAAGTCTTCATCTCTCTCCAGTATTAGTTAGCCTCAAGCATACACTAAGGTCCCAGACAATAATTCGGGACATACT